ATCTTCGCTGCATTTCTCAGATTTGAAAATATGAATAGAACAAATGATTATGTCATCTGCATATGCCAATGGCATATAAAATCGCCACTGTGGTAGAGTTATCTGTTTGGTAGTGAAATCATATATACACTTACATGATTCTGGGGCTTAACCATCCACCATACTCGTCTTCAAGAATCTGGGGGAGATCTAGGTGGTGGAGTGTGATGTGGACTTGAATTCCTGGGATAAATACCACGGAGACCAGACGGTTCAAACTATTATTTGCATGCATTTCTCTTTCTTGAGAAGGAACATGATTATATGAAGTTTGAATCTAACAACCGATTGCAGTTAAACATTTAAAATGCTCAAGGATCTAATAAAAATACTTGCCATGATTCACTAGCTCGTCAATGAGGTTATTGTAGTATTGTAGCCCTTTGGGATTGACAGCTCCGCGTCCATCTACAAACCCGAAATTTCCAGAAACAATGAGATCAATTAGAAAACTAATTAAAGCAATTTGTTCTGATGAAGGTCATGATAATTTCTGTACTTGGAATGAGCCTTGACCAGGAGATGGAGAACCTATAGGCCTCTAGGCCTGTCTCATACATGTGCTTGACATCCTCCTGCAAAATTATACTATAAGCCAAATTTCTTTCAGAATTACTAAAGCATAGATGCTCAAGATTTGCAAGGCCCCATATTATTTACTCCTACCATGTATTTGTGGTACCCATCTGCAGCAACATCTCCCATGCTTTTGTCTGGCATTTTGCCTGCAAGATGAAAAATCTAGCTGTCAAAATTGACCAAACCATGATTGGTCAACCACATCAAGTTCCGGTCTTGGCTATTGCCAATAATTTCTCTGAATTCAGTTATGTTTCAGCAACATAAATGCTAGCTGTGTAAATTGTTCCACCAAGAGGGCACTCGTCCCAAATATCCGCTCAACGCATCAATTAGGAAAACTGATCACAAATTGCTCGAGGTGCTATTTGTTACGCATTGGGAAATATCCATGGTCAGGCTAAAACAAAATGCAGCACCGGAAAACCAGGAGGTAGATTTCACAAAGAGACATGTAGCAACCAACCTGCGTGAGTGAAAGTGTCCCAACTGCTTGGGCTCCTGCCATCCTCAGCAACAGCACCCTCATACTTGCAGGCAAAAGAAACAGACATCAAAATTGATTAAACGGACGACGAACTAAACACGCCAGAACTCTCAGCCCAAACAAGGTAAGATCACTTACTTGGTATGCCGAGGTTCCAGCTCCAAAGACGAACTCCTGTGGGAAATCTCTTCTTGTGAAGCCAAGGCCAGTCGCAGCCGCACCCTGAACCCAGAGGGACAGCAAGAGGTAGAAGAAGGAATCAGAGGCACCCCCCATCTGTGGCTGTCTTCTTCTGTGCACTGATTAATAAAAGACACACCGCGTTATTTCAGAAAACAAATTCCACGAATTGAGCAGGACTGTCTGTGCATAAAAAAGGAAGAGCAGGCATTGCAGCAGGATGGATGGTGAGCGCCAGCATCGGCGCCTGTCCCTCTTCTCCAGCTTCTGGCGCGCTGATGGAACCGCGGAAACGATCAGTTGACATTGAACAGGCACTGGCAGTGGCTTCCGCTAGCACGCCGGCAGCTTACTGGACAGCGGAGTGCTCGGCGGCGCCGGCGGAGATGGAGGGGCCAACGCTTTCACGGAAGAATCGAAGTGCGAAAGTGGAGGGGAAGAAGAAACACCAACGCATGCAGAGGAAACAATAATGGGACGGGGTATCCGTCCCTACCCTAGTAGCTCGTCGTCTCGCCGCCGACGAGTCAGTGGCCCCGCCAGTAGACGGAGAACACTCTCGAGTGCCTTTTTTTTTTTTTGAGGCAGAGTGCATGTTCATGGAGCAGAGTGCCTGTGAAACTAAAAAGCTTAAACTGTGGCGGCGATTCCCAACAAAAGGCACTCCATGGATTTATTTTTTTAACTAAAAAGCTTAAATTTTAAAAATTACAAAATTAAGTCCTCCATGGAGCTCGGCCTCCAAGACGGCCTACTCAACCCAAATCAATCTCAACATACCCAACCTTTTGAATTTACTAACTCTCGTCTAAATAAAAATTAGTTAGATCTCCTCTAGCCGTCATCCTATCTGGTTTTACATGGTGATTCATATAGTATATATTGTTCTGTTTCCATTTGATTTATTTACATCTTTTGGGGTTATCATTTTCATTCTCTTTTCACGTGCAACACGCATGGAGAAAAACCAGATGAAAAACAATTAATAAACATACTAAATAACTAAAGTTTACTAGAAAAACGTACATGAAAAGTGACATACACTAATTATCACATCACATAAATTAAAGTAATGACTTCACTAAAAGTTTATCCAGTTTAGTTGCTTAGTATGTTTATTAATTGTTTTGGTTTATGTCGGTTCTACTAATATTTCATGCTTGAAAGTTGGGATGTAGGAGACATGCGGCTAGGAGAAAGAAGAACATGACGATGTGTGTTGGTCACCCTCTATGTCAAGACATCAAGAGAAAATCCAGATTTTTATGGTGAAATGTGAGACATCACACACACATTGCTCTCTAATGACATGCTCATAAAACAGAAAACAACGTTAGTTAGTACTTTTATTTTATTTATTATTACATTGCAATGCACGGCCATTTACTTTTTTTTATCAATTACACGTGCATTTAGGTCGTAATAATCTTTCCCACTTGTAAAAATTTGAGTTGGTGATGAGTTCACCCACCTTCAAATCTTTTTTTAATTCCTACACGTGGAGCACGTTGCAGGTAGCACCAAATGAAATCAAAAATTGCCAAGCCACGAGTCCAACTCTGGATGAATCTGAAAGGTCAGCATCGTTAATAGTACAGTCAATTGGCTATATGACATTGTCATCTCATCTATAGCCGAGCTTATAGCCGGCAAGTATGATAGTTGCATGATCTTGACAACACCCTCGCTGAAGTGTGAGACCTCAACAAGGTGGCTACGGGTGAGCTCAGCTCAGCTCTTTTGTCTTGTCGTGTTTCCTCGCGTCACCAATGAGATGAACCATAGCGCAGCATCCCGTCCTGCTATAAGATACGACCACTCTATCACAGGTAGCTATTGACCATGAAGAGTAGAAAATAATCACATTGGTGGAACCCATTTCCCACATGAACCACTTCCCAATCAAGCTCCATGTAACAAGTCAGAAATCAGTTGTCCTTTAATATCCCAACTCCGACACAAGCTTTAACAATACATATTCATATGGAAATTGTGGTGACCACATATCATCGTAACCTCTGGATTGATGTATAGTTTGCTATGCACGATCTTTATTTATAGGCGTGTGCCATTTATGTTATTCATGCTTTCTTTATGCAGATTAGTTGACGATCATCTAAACATGCATGCCCACTCGCAAAATAAAGAATCACGCTTCAAGATTGCATGCATGCATCCACTCAAGTTCATGCTTTCTTTATGCAAATTAGTTGATGAATAATCAGAACATGAGTGAACATTGCATGAATGCATTCATGTCATACAAGATGACCTATATGTATCAAATGCCATATGCATGGAAATTACATGCACGGCTGAACCCATTTTATTCTTCACCATATAGAGATGCGCGGGGTTAACCTCATCTCTATAGTAATCTTTCCCACTTCTAAAACTTTTAGTTGGTAGTGAGTTCACCCACCTTCAACTCTTTTAGAATTCCTTTGCGTGAAGTATGTTGCACCTAGCACCAAATGAAATAAAAATTTGCCAATCCACGAGTCTAACTTTGGATGAATCTGGAAGGTCAACATGGTTAATAGTACAACCATCAGTTGACTATATGATGTTGTTATGTCATCTATAGCCTAGTTTATGGCCGCCAAATATAATAGTTGCATGTAAAAGTGCACTATTTTGTTGATACATGGCCCACCCTCTCTCTCTCTCTCTCACACACACACACACACACACAAAGTGTCTAAGAGCGCCTATTGCAACCGGTTGGCCCACTTCTCTTCTCTCTTCTCCAACTCATCAAAAATATAATTTTTCAAGTCTTACAATCCGCCTACATCATCTTACTGTACTTGCTCTAACCAATAACACACGCACTTGTTTCCCGTACAAAGAGCAACAACAGAATAAAATAATATGCCCACTAAGTTTCTTGGGGAGATAAAAAGGCCATCCTTCAAGACCTCCACGCCGAGCGCTGCACTTCGCCGTTTTTGACTGTTTCTTTCCATTCCCTTCTTGGTTATCGTCCACCGCAATAGATCACTAATGCCGATTCACATTAAGTATTAAGTATATGATTCTATCGCCTTTTTACAAAAGAACGAAAAATGGGTTTCAAGTCAAGAAACATATGCAGAGATTTAAACCTTTATTTGTAGGGGGCTGGTATATTATGTCTGGTAGATGTTCACTAAACCAGTTATGAGAAATTGGGACTATATGTTATGTTTGTTCAACACAAATAACCATGTTAATGAAATAAAAAAAGAATATGTTGTTGATCCCATTGTTCCCACAATTTATGCCTTTTTGACAGATTTTATTTATTATTTTCCCTATACTTTTGCTATTCCACCTCATTTTTTGTACGTAGTTTCTTAGCATAGCACGGGCGTCTTACTAGTTTTTTTTTTTAGAAATACGGGCGTCTTACTAGTAATACTAATAACTTCAGCCTGATGATAAAAAAAATAACTTCAGTCTGAATCCAGAAAATGGACCATATACACCGGAAATGCTTCCAGCAGCCCAAAGTTGTGCGTCCGGGCCGGCTGTGTAGCGAGAATGCCCTTGGGCCTAGCCCACCCGACCCAGTCCGGTTTTCACTTTCTTTCTTGTGGAAGGCGTAAGAGCAGACTGACACAAACATCCCGAAGCGGCAGCCAAAGAACTCAGAGCCTCCGAGAGAGACGACCCAACTCTGAATTCGCAAGCCTCGCTTACTCGCCGGAGCAGCCCACCCAGCACCCACCAGATGGCCGCGGCAATGGAGGTCGACGCCGGCGGGGAGAAGCCGTCGGAGAAGGAGCTCTTCCTCGCCGCGGAGTCCGGGGCCGCCGGCGTCTTCTCCTCCCTCGCCCCCGCCGACCTCGCCGCAGCCCTCTCCCTCCGCAACGAGGACGGCCGCTCCCTCATCCACGTCGCCGCCTCCTCCGCCCGCCCCGAGGCAAGCGCCGCTGCTTCCCCGCGCGATTAGCCCCCAAATCTGCCCCGCCTCCGGGTTTAGGGTTTTGACCCGTTTGGCTTTGGGGGGCTGTTTGATGTTTTAGGCCGTCGCCGCGCTTGTGGCTGCGGGGGGCGACGCCGTGGCGAGCGCCGTGAACGGGAAGGACGAGGAAGGGTGGGCGCCCATTCACTCGGTGGCCAGCAGCGGCAACGCCCAGATCATCGACATCCTGCTCGATCACGGTACGAGACCGTGCCGTTGTACTTGCGTGAATTTGTCCTGTTTGTGCTTACAAGCTCCTACACTTAGTTGGTGAAATTAGGATGACGGGTTGATATCTTCTGATGATTCTTGCTTGCACGGGTTATTTCTGCCTAATGCGATAATTAGCAGGTATTGCTCCTGGAAATGTTTGTTCTTAATAGGGCGATTTGTTCGAATTGTCATTGCCTGACTGATTTATCCTAGATGACCGATGGTTCCATGATTTTGTTTAGTTATGCTCAACTTCCTGTGCAGCTGATAAAGGTGAATTTGACAGGGTATCAATTTTGGAACTGTTGATTTTGCCATGTTCCATACAGTATTTGGATGCAACGTAAGTTGAACAGCTAGAATGATTCCAGCAGGGTATTAAACATTACTCGAAGAAATATTGGGTTTTGGGTAGCTCATTATTTCTGCTTTGCTTTTTTTCTCTCAGGCAAACTTTGCCATGAATTATACTCCCTCCGTTCCTAAATATAAGTCTTTTTAGAGATTTCAAATGGACTATCACATACAGATGTATATAGACATATTTTAGAGTATAGATTCACTCATTTTACTCAGTATGTAGTCACTTGTTGAAATCTCTACAAGGACCTATATTTAAGAACGGAGGGAGTACTACATATCGCTGATGTCCTGTTCTTAGTTCTTATTCAGTACTTCTCCTATCATATGACACTTTAGTTTATATATGTAGCAAGATAAAATAGAGCTGATATGCATGGCAAGAATAGGACTGATGTGGAGTAGAATGTTATACATCTTCATTTCTGGATAAGTTGTTTAATCCTTCTGAAAAAGGCGACTATCTGATGTCTCTGGCACTGCGTAGCACATTGGCCTAACTAACTAGGTATCAAATGTTGTTTGAAAGTCCTTTGTGTAGGACGACCATACGCGGCTAGATTTCTGTTAAGGGGGAGTGTGTTTCCCCCTAGGGTTGAAGAAGCCACACCAGTTTGTTGGTTTTTCTTGTTTGTTTACTTTTGTGTTTTTATGTGCAGTATATTGCGATGAAATTAGCACCTATCCTGCTACTTCTGTAAAAAAAAAGTCTCCCTGCTGTAGATATGCCTTCTGTAATAGGCATTATGCTATGCTATGTTGCTGCTTTTAAATGAGTTTATACTCCATTCATCTGTATGAATTTGATATCTCAGTATAATCTTCACCTTTTTGCGAGTTCCTGGTAACAGACATAACTATAGTTATTATAAATTTAATATATACCAGGTGCAAATGTTGATTTGACTACTGATGCTGGCCGAACTGCTCTTCACTATGCTGCTAGTAAAGGAAGGCTTAACATTGCTGAAATGCTGATAGCTCATCGTGCAAATGTCAACAAGAAAGATAAGGTTTGTAAACTTCTAATGGTCTAGAAGGAATACCATGAATGGACTCTCAAATCTGGTTCCATGTAATTTAAGTGCTTATGGCTGGTTGTACGAGCACCTCAAGCCCATAAGGAGAATGAAATATTTTTATAGGGAGGGTTATGATATGATCTATGAACATAAAACTGCAAATGAAATTTTATGAGAAGGCTGAAATGTTTACAGTGTAAGTTTTTTTCTTTTGTAGAAATTTACTTTAGCAAGATTGCTGTCCTCTGGATGCCATTCAGGCATAGAAGTTAACTGTGGTGTAGACAACCATCTATATGTACAAATATTATGTTAATTTGAAGTATTAACTGTCAAGTGCAGTAGTTTCTATGAAATACATTTGTCCACTGCTTTCTACATTATCATTGCAGCGTGTTTGAAGTAATTTGGCAGACATGTAAAACATTGAACTACTATCTTGTCAGTTTGGCTGCACACCCCTGCATAGAGCTGCGAGTACTGGAAATGCTGAGCTGTGTGAATACCTGCTTGAAGAAGGCGCAGATATTGATGCAGTTGACAAGCTAGGACAATCACCTCTAATGCATGCCGTCATATGCGAGGACAGAGGGGTAATATTTCCTTTGCTTTCATGCACCACCTCATTGTATTCATAGGTTATGTTGATGCTCTTTCAAATGGCTAAGAGGCTTGGAGCTTCTGTATATATTTTTATGTGTTGCATCATAGGTACACCTTAACTGCTCAATTAAGTTGCAGTTAAATGCTCAGGACAATGATGTTAATATTTTCACCGACTTGGTGTTCAACTATGTAGACTACTTAGTTCATTAGGCAGCCCATTGGGTTTAAGTCAAGGAATAATCCTGACATCTCCACGAGTTGATTCGTTTCAAAAATCTCCATCTACGTTGGTTAACTGTTCTCTGATATCCTTTTGTAAATAGATGTGGATTACTTGTATTTCTGCTGATTCTTGCGTTATAATCGCTGTTTTAGGTTGCCTTTCTGCTGATCAGACATGGTGCCGATGTTGACATTGAAGACAAGGAGGGCTACACTGTCCTTGGCCGAGCCTCTGATAGCTTCAGGCCTGCACTGATTGATGCGGCCAAGGCAATGCTCGAAGGCTGAGGATGTTTTGCTGCCCTAAGGTAAGAGATAGATGGAAGAACATGTGGAGTAGAAAAACTGCCGCTGTGTACCTTGTGGTATAAGTATGAAGTGTTTCCCTCCAAAATCAGATTGACCAGCCAGACTTTTTGTTCGCGGTTAATGATTCTCGTGTTGACTTTGGTGTTCTGCTTTTGTGCTCTCTTCAGATGACTTACTGACGATTGTCGTAGTTCAGGACAAAAATGAAAACTTGGTTCTCTTCTGCCAACAGAACTTTTTAGGCTGTGAATTATATGTATTACGCGACACCTGCTTTGAGTAGATGTGAACTTGGTCTGTATGTGTTTCTTTACCATACGATTAGTAGTTCCAGCTACTCTAATTTTGTGTGCTCACATTGCTTCACCGAATATCCCAGTCCCGTATTTATGCTTTGTGAGCCGTCCACTGCTAACTGGAATATGTTTTGGTAGCTTCTTGCGGACTATGAAAACGTAGCTTGTCAACCAAGTGACAGATGAACTGGAAACCTTCGTGTTAAAGCTGGAGCAAGGATTTTGTCATTAAGCCAATGATGGTGGCATCCAATGCCCGTAATGTGCGCAGCGCCACGAGTCGTGTTCCCCATAATTAGTACTAGTACGGTTACTAATGATCTTCATTATGGCGTGGCGTGCATAGCTGGTGCATCCGCCCTGCGTCTTGTATGACACACTCCATAAAGCTCGTTGTGCTACGTCTACCAGGGTCCCTACTGTCTTTCAGGGAAAGAAATGCTTCCGCACTGGGGAATTTTCTTCCCCCTTCTGTTTCTGGTGCCTTGGTTTGTTCACGTTCCCAGATAGGACCATAGGAACTTAGGAAGGAGTTAATGAGCAACGCAAGTCCGTGTCGTAGACGCTCCGCCATGCTCCATTGCCCAGCCCACAAATGAAGACGGGGAAAGCACGGGTCGCGATGAAAACAAATGTGGAACCGGTGGATCCTCTGTCCCCTGCGATCCGCATTGAAACCGGGGCCATGTGGTATCCAACGCGGACGCATGTGATCTCCTGCTGCTAGCTTTGGCTGGTTCGCGCCGTGCCGCATCCTGCCTTGGCTTCTGCCGGCCAGGTCCGTCCCCGTCCTCAGGCCGGTCACTGGCCGATCTCTGTGGGGATCTTCTTATTTAAGACGAGCAGTTAGCGCATGATAGGACTACTGCACTAGGTCCCAGTAGCAGCTAAATCCTAACCATCACATAATAATCAGTCACATATTGCCGCATATTTGTTCTCCAGAGTTTGTAATCCTGGCCGATTGATGGCTTTGTTAATTCAAAGCCGGGCTCTTCACGAGCCTTCGTTCTAAAAAAATATTGCCGCATAACAGCGCGGGGGTTCGATCGTTCAGTGTTGAAATTTTGGCACCCGCCGAGCGTTTTCTGCACGGCGGTGCCTGGGAGACCTATCCAGATGCGGCGGCGTTCCTCGCACGGCATGTCCGATTTTGTTTACGCGCGCAAATTCCGGCTGGTGGTACGGGCCAGCCACCCCGCCGTGCCGAAACCACACCCAAAAAAAACCAAAAAATAGTACACTACTTCTTCACAGAGCAACTGATGAACGCAAAGTTAAAAAAACCAAAAAAATAGTACGCTATTTCTCCAGTCCAGTGCACTCTTCACACTTGACAAATCAATCCGCCGGTAACCATTTGGTTCCGCAAATCCACACCGCTAATCTCACCCAAGAACGTCCGTGGCACTGCCATTCTCTCCTATCCTAGGAACACACACCAAAGAAATGAAGAAATGGGGAAGGAAACTCCAAACAACAAACGAGCTCGGAACTAGCGGCAGACCAGATCGGCTAGACTAGACCGCCCTGAGGAGCGCGGCGAGGACGGCGACGGCGGCGTAGAGCGCGACCCCGGCGCGCGGCCCGGCGAGCGCGGCGGAGCGGTGGTGCTGCGCGGAGGGCGGCGGCGACGGCGGCGGCAGCTTCTGGGACTTGATGGCCAGGCGCATCCCGCCGGGGCAGTAGCCGAAGCTGCAGATGAAGTAGTAGGTCTTGGTCTCGTTGAGCTCGAAGGCGAAGCTGCGGCCCTTGCTGTAGTTGTAGATGGCGTTGCTGGCGTCGCACCGGTTGTACCCGGACTCGTTCACCTCCACCACGTCCGCCTGCCCCGCCGTGTAGTAGAACACTGCAATGCATGAGCGCAACACCAGACGAACCGAGTCAGTCAGCCAGCCGGCCGGCCGGCCGGAGGTAGAGTATTACGGCGGAGAAAGAAAGAAAGAAAGAAAGAAAGAAAGGCGGCCTCGCATCTCCTTCCGCGGCCGCGCTCCGGCGACCAGATCTGCTGGCGGCGGCTGGGCTCGAGCTCGAGCTCGAAGCTAGGCGTAAAGAGTAAAGTGAAGTAACCGCGCGCGCACGTACCGAGCCAGTCGCCCTTGTAGAAGGGGCCGTGCTCCTGCTCCCAGCCGGAGTAGTTGGTGTTGGGCAACCAGTTGACCTTGATCTTGTTCGCCGTCGTCGTCGCCGGCAGCGCCGCGCACGCGGCCACCGCCACCAGCACCGCGGCCCACGCAGCCCTCCGCCGCTCCATCGCCTCTTCCTCGTCCGACGAGGAACCAGGGGCGACGAGATGTGCGCGGCTGTTTCTTGCTTCTTCAAAATGGAACGAGCTGGGCGGGGGCAGAGGAGGAAGGTGGTGGGATGGGACGGTGGCCGGCCTGGCCAAGGTCTTAAAAAGAGGAGAGGCGGCACGTGGGAGCGGGGTCCAGGCAGGAGTCTGGAACTCTGGAGGCGCCAGGCGGTGTGCCGGGGAGACGCCATCGTGGCCGTCCGTTCCCGGATCCTGGGGCGGTGGGTCGCGGCCGTGCGGTCGGGTGGTGCCTGCGCACGGTGCGGCGCGGTCTCGGGCCACGGTCGCCGGCCGGTGCGCGCGCGTGGTTGAGGGGCCGTGTGCCCGTGGGATCTAGATCTACCGTGGCGCGTTCGGCTGTGGGTGACTGACTTTGGGGCGGGAGCGTGTGGCCGCCGGCGTCGATTTGCAACATCGCAACACAGAGCCTGCGCATGGTAGTGGTAGGGTGGCCATTGGAGGAGTGGCCTGGACGCTTGATAGGCATGGCAGCCATCCCAGCGTATTTCGAAAGTCGGTTCGATTTGCAGATTTTCTTTAACAAATTATATACATCATAGATGCAACACATTATATACATCATAGATGCAAACGCTCATACATAAGCTCATCCATGTGAACGCACGTACACACACCGTACATCTATGAGCACCTCTGAAAGATATGAGCACCTCCGAAAGACTGAGCGGGGACATCATTTCTGAGATTTACGAAGTCGTCACATACGTCTTCGTAGTCGATAGAAAGATCTTCTCCCACTGAACGCACAACACCGAAAGGCCTAAAATAAATTCAGAAAAATGTGAGGACCGGTGTCAAATCTAAGACTTGAACCTTGATGGGCTGAGAATGCCACTGTTTTCCTAACTATCCAACCACGTGTTGACAGATTATAATAGTACGTCTTTTGACTAGCCAAAATCAAGTAATTTCAAATAGTAACAAAATCCAAAAGAACTCGTCCTATTCGAAACTAACGGTCCATTCATTTCCAAATAGGATCGATATTTAGTTTGAAGGTTCACAAAATACAAAGCAAACCAAGTATATAAAATATTCAGAGTTGCTATTCCTACACACAACTTCTACGAAAGTTGACGATGTTATGGCTCAAGACTGCCTTGCCATACCAGAGGCCAGTCCAAACAGGCCGCCCCCTAGACCGGTTTATGCCCTCGGATGTTGTACCGGCCTATGGGCCCATAGAAAATAAAGACCCGAAGGACATGAGAGTACACAACAAGGAAGCTGCCTTCAAGAGGACTCCTTCGTAACCCTAAAAGACTATGATCATGTAAACCTAGCCCCTGTTGCCCACGCAAGCTAGGGCTAGGCTAGTGGGTATAAACAATAACCATATAGTTACCCAATCAATACAAATGAGCAGGAAGCAGGGATATACCTCTACCTTGACACCTGAATCTGATTAAATCTTCTACGGTTTCCCTCTCAGTATACTGCCTAGCCATAGTACCCTATCAAGGGATCTGCTAGAAAATGCTCCGGCAAACATATTACGAAAATGTTATCTAATGGTCGTGTATAGCATTTTGTGTCTGTTCAATGCACTGCTTAAACAATGTTTAACCATGCTTAAAATTAGTGCTAATTTTGATGTTTAATTTATGCCAAAATTTGTGTTGGACTGAACATTTAGTTAACTGAACTATTCTCGTCGCATGGGCTTAAATCATGGACAAAATAACGTGTTCTCGATGTCGCTCCGTGAGCGGCCCGAGAGCAAACCCTAGCGCCACCACTCGTAGACCTTCCATGGCCTTCCTCCCTCGCCGCCGCCGAAGCGCATTACCGGGCAAAGCTCACATGACATCGACCGTGACGGGGCCTTTTTCCCACTCGCTAGGGGCAACAACGTGTTGGGGAACGCGGTAATTTAAAAAAAAAATCCTACGATCACGCAAGATCTATCTCTAGGTGATGCATAGCAACGAGAGGGGAGAGTGTTATCTACGTACCCTCGTAGACCGAAAGCGGAAGCGTTATGACAACGCAGTTGATGTAGTCGTACGTTTTCACGATTCGACCGATCCTAGCACCGAAGGTATGGCACCTCCGCGATCTGCACACGTTCAGCTCGGTGAAGTCCCACGAACTCTAGATCCAGCTGAGGTCGAGGGAGCATTTCGTCAGCACGACGGCGTGGTGATGGTGATGATGAAGTTACCGGCGCAGGGCTTCGCCTGAGCACTACGACGATATGACCAAGGTGAAAATCTGTGGAGGGAGGCACCGCACACGGCTAAAACAATTGTCAACTTGTTTGTCTTTGGGGTGCCCCCCTCCCCCGTACATAAAGGAGTGGAGGAGGGGGAGGGTCGGCCCTCTATGGCGCGCCCAAGGAGGGGAGTCCTACTCCCAGTAGGAGTAGG